CAACAAATAGAATCAGGAAATTAAGATTTAAAATCAGATAAAAATTCAAAAAACTATAAAAGTAAAGAAAATAGAGAGAGAGAGAGAGAGAGAGAGAGAGAGAGAGAGAGAGAGAGAGAGAGAGAGAACCTGAGATGCAATCGTCGTGTCTTGGTGGTTTCGATTGTTATTTCGTTGCATAATAAAAAAGGGTAAAGTCTATGAATATTCTCCGATCTTTTAAATATCTTTCATTTTGGTCACTCATTTTTTGAAATTTATAATACAGTCATCAAACTTTTAGTTGGTTTTCATTTTGTTCCCTGCCGGGTCCTTGGATTAGTTTGTGCTGACGTCGCAGTTACCTCGGTTAACCCTCTGACGTGACAGTTTCTTTTCTTCTCCTTTTTGCAGCTTCTTCTTCTTCTTCTTCTTCTTCTAAGCTATTTATCTTTTTCCTTTTATAAATAAGACATTTTAATATCCTTTTGCAAATCTCTCCTGCCCATCTTTCCATCTCTTTTTTCATATCTTGCTTGAGCATAAGGTTTCCTCCGGCTAAGAAGGCATGGAAAAGCTTTACCTCCAAACTGATACTTTCCAACCAAACTGTGCATGCTAAACTTATTTCCCTCTCTTCTCCTTCAAATCATGTCTTCTCATGATTTAACCTATATTGATACTTTCCATTGCTTTGCAAACAGCAGTATTTCCACATCAAGGTGTACTCTTGAAGTTGGAAATGGTTTAGAGAAGCATAAGATTGACATCTCCTCTAGATTTAGTGGAGCATGCAATGGATACCGAAGCAGTGAAATTTACAGTGTTGATTTCGCTCCTGCTGTTAATGTCCAGCAATTTTAACCTTTCCAAACGCACCGATTCCGATCGTTCTTCCAAGCTTGTAATTAGGAAATAGTACACTATCCACCTCACTTCCTCCCGATCCATCCATTTTTTCTTCCTTAAATCCGAAACAAAAACATTCAGAACCAAAATCAAAATCAAAATCAATCAAATTTAGATTGTAATTTAAAATATTTTAAATTTAGTTATATTTTTTAATTTTATTTTTTAAAATTTTGAATTTTTTGATCTTTAGATTATGTAATTTAAATTTATAAATGTTATGCGTGGATTACATACTAAACTTCTAAAATTTATGTTTTTTTTTCTATGTGGACTTTTTTAAAATAATATTTAAAGAAAAAAAACACTAAAATAAATATAAATCGTATATTCATGAACCAAAAATACGAGTACTCTAATTCTGTAAATACCCGAATTTAATGGACCAAGAAACTAATCGACATTCAATTAAAGAATTTATAGCATTCTAAGGTTGCTTTAAACAAGTTCTAATAATCTGGAATGGAAGCAAAGGTGTATCCTTCGGCACCCCTCCATGAATAAAGCTATCCGAGTCTCGTAAAAACCTGCTGCATACAAATTCCGATAAACGAAAAGTAGTGTCGGTCGAGCTCTTTCGAAGTTCGACAATCAAAGCAGGCTGTTAAAGAGGCTTTGAAAGAGACATCAGAAAGTTTAAAAGTTAATAAAAACTTCGCCTGCAATGCCAATGCCATAGATTGTAATCCTCATGCACTATTTGGCGTGTAACGCTCTATTGCAGGAATGGTTGTTTCGATCGAGGTCGTAATGAAATAAATAGTGTTGGATCAATGCGTATAGAGTTTTCCCTCCAAACAAAGGGGTTGATGCCATCTAATGTTACTCGACTCTTCATTTTTATTTTTGAAGTGTTCGTGTTCGACACCAGTGTCAGAAAAAATAAATATACCTATGTCGGATACATACTCGTATGCAACACTCACACCTAGATCTAAATAACCTAGATCGCATCACCATCCAACACTTCCCGGAGCGCAGCGATACGTAAACGACAGAAAATGAAACACTATTGCCCTATGAACATCTATAACTGCAAGGATCGATACTTATGCTTTAGCATTTCATAACATACATGCCAAAGCAATGATTTCATAACAAGCTCTATGCTGCAGCATTCAACTATTATCCAATGACGATAAACAACTTCCATCTCCGAGAACCCAGACTCATTTCACCATTATGTGACAAAATATCATTAACAATCTGGTACTACAAAAACAAGTCAAGCATAACTATCGAACGTGCATTGAATTGCTAAACGAGATCCCCCTTTCAACAGTTAAACATACTGTCTACATCATCCAGTTAAAAACACTTTCTGTTGAATCAGCTGTGTAACTGGGAGGAAAAGAATTCCAAGGACCAGAAGGCATACCTGGAAGGAATGTAAGAATGCCGAGGACTAAGAGGACATACGCCTGCGATTGCTCTCCTCCCATATGCCCAGTGAAGATGAAAAACGAAAGAAAAAGAAGCAAGCACCCTAGACAAAGCATAAAAAGTGCAAGGGCAATGGGTTTCCATGGGATTCTATCGAAGGCTTTTGGTGCATAATCAAACCTCCGGTCGTAACGCCCATCGTCTTCATCAACAGCTAAAGGACTGTAACGAACATGATGCCTAGACAACATAATAGTTAAACACTCAACTATCTCTTAGGATCCTTTGCAGATAAGCCAGATTTGTCTAAACACAAAAAAGAACACAAATTTGCTCATTTCAGATATCAAATAAAGAAGTTTCGAAAGAATCAAATCAATACACCAATAAATAGTATTTACTACTAAATGCAACGACGAACAAGAAACTATATTATATAGCTTGGAAAGCACACAACCAGATCATCACTGAACACCCAAATCCAAAGAACCAAGCTTAATAAACGTAAAATTTAGCAGTTGATATTAATTAATTCGATAAAAAAAGACTAATAAACATCAAATTTCTCCTTTTTTTCAGTTTTTCAGCATTAATGAACCTATATTTCAACTATGTGCTAAACTGGGTAACCATTAAATACAAGAAAAGATAAAAAACTCAAGACACCACGACCACGACCACGACCACGACCACGACCACGACCACGAGACGAGACGGCGGCGGCGGCGGCGCGCGAGAGTCCCCCTTGTTCTCTATCACTCAACAAGGAAGTGGGAAAGCCAAGCCTTAAATACCATTCCCAATAGTGTTTCCAATACTATGTGGGATTTGAGCATTACCAACACTTGTTCCCAATACTATGTGGGATTGAGCCTTAAATAGTGATATTATTTTTGAATGTTTTGCTTAAAATTACAATAATCGCGATTGATTGTAGATTGACTTTTAATTATGACATATTTAATCGTATAATACTAATGCAATTGGTTGCTGATTCAGTTGTTTTAAGGTGCATAATTGTTAATTGTTTCCTGAATAATCACATTGTATTGGAAACAAGTGTTGGTAATGTTCAATCCCACATAGTATTGGAAACACTATTAAGAATAGTATTTAAGGCTTGGCTTTCCCACTTCCTTGTTGAGTGATAGAGAACAAAGGAGACTCTCGCGCGCCACCGCCGTCGTCTGTCTCGTCTCGGGCCGTGGCCGTGGCCGTGGTCGTGGTCGTGGTAATATGTGTCTTCGACACGTACTATCTTTTTAGAGAAAATTCTTAAGAAACAAAATCTTTTTTTTTTAACTATCACAACGAATTTTCGCAACGAATTTGGAAAATCGCAACGACAACTGTAGACTATCGCAACACGATTTTCAACTATCGCAACGCGATTTTCAACTATCGCAACGCGAAATGAAAAATCGCAACGCGATTTTCGCAACGAATTTGGAAAATCGCAACGAATTTAGAAAATCGCAACGCGGACTGAAAAATCACAACGCGATTTTCAACTATCGCAACGCGATTTTCAATTATCGCAACGCGAAATGTAACGCGAATTTACGATAGTGGAGATCGCAATGCGAATTAGAGATCGCATTGCGATTTTGTTGGTCATTTTCGCAAATCCAAAAAAAATTGATCAAAATCGTATATTATCTGAGATTTTTGGTCACTGAGATTATTTTCTCATATTGATATACCTATGTCTATTCTTAAAATTATTTCCGAATAAGCTATAAAGATACGGTGGGCAAAATACACAGGAGGATGATCCCTACTTGAAACAATTTTACTAGTACACTTGTGGTTTTGTTGACTAGTTTACTTTAAGAATCGGGTAAATTACACGCTTACTCACTGAAATTTACTCTCTTATTTCTCTCATCGTCCTTTCAACTTTTTCAATCAGTTCGCTGAACTTTAAACATTGAATTTTTTGTCACTCGACCGTTAAATTTCTAACGATATTAAATTAAATTGAAAAAAATTAAAAGTATAATGAGTGAAATAGGAGAGAGTGTAAAGTTTATTGAGTAAATGTGTGGCATGTTTTATTATTAAAATAAGCCACGTAAGCACCCCGTTATTGAGTAAATGGTCGAGTGACCAAAAAAATTCAATGTCTAAAGTTCAGTGAGCAAATTGAAAAAATTGAAAGTATGGTGAGTGAAATAGGAGATAGAGTAAAGTTTAGTGAATAAACATGTAATTTACTCTTAAGAATTTGAAAAAAAAAATAATCTCGTTCATTTAATTATGGCTTAAGGGTCATCTTTATCCCTATAATAGATCAAATTTATTATTTTTACTCTTATCATATTTTCACATCAATTTAATCTTTAAAGTTGTTTAATTGTATCATTTTATGCTCTTTCACTGACTTAAAACCCTAAATTATAAGTCATAAATTAGTGTTTGGAGATATTAGGATTATGATTTAGGGTTTAAAAATTATAATTTAGGATTTTACGTTAGAGGCATAGTTATAGAATGATGCAATTGAGTAGTTTTGAGGGTTAAATTGATATAAGACCAAAAGTGATAAATTAGATGAATAAAAAATCACATTTTTACCTTTAATTATAATTTTCCGGATAATAATAATAATAATAATAATAAGGTTAAAAATGGGGATCAAACAACATTATCACAATCCAGTAAAGGGAAGAAAATTAAAAGGACCGAAGCTTTAAAACAAAAGCTAAATTTGTGGAGACAAGGAACAAATCATTCAAATCTCTTCTCTATTACTTTACATTCTTTCAGCTCTTTATTTATTTATTCATTCATTCATTCATTTTTCCCAACATTTGAACACCCCCAAAGAAAAAACACAGAGCTTGCAGATTTTCTTTGTTTGGTCTTTTACCCGGATCCGACCCGACCTTGATTGTTCCTTGCCTGCTTTTCTCAGCTGAGAGATCCCATTTCTGGAGAGAAAAGAAAACGATCAAAGTAATTTTATTTAAATTTGATCCGATTTTTATTTATGTTTTCTGAGTTTTGTTTATAATGTCTGCTGTAATATTCCATTAACATTGGGTTCTCTCTCTCTCTCTCTATAAAGATATTGGCTTTTTCCCGTAATTTCTACTTTAGATTCAAAGTTTATGGTTTTAGTTAGCAGCATTGACTTTTAATATTAATTTCAATAATGCTTTTCTTCTTCTTCTTCTTCTTCTTCCTCCTTTTGGTAAAGATACTTAATTTTGAACATATGATTGATTGATTGATTGTGTATTTGCCAAATTTCAGTGTTGGATTCGAAGTTTCTTTTTTTTCCCTTTACCATTTTCGAAGAAATAGCATATGTTCTTAACATTGTCTTTGTCAAGTCTTCTTGACACAAGTTTCTGTGAAGGTTGAATTGTCTTTGTCAAGTCTTCTTGACACAAGTTTCTTTGAAGGTTGAACATTGTTTTGCTTCTTTTCATTGAAGAAAAACAAGTATTTTCCAATTTAGGTGTGTTTTTAATTAATTTTTATACAATTAAAAATAATTAAGCTCCTTTCTGATGTGGGACAGATTTCATTTTTTTCTGCTCATTTTTATCTCCTTAACCTCATTGGATACGGTGTGTATGTTGTCTTTTCTCTTCGTTTTTATATATCTAGTTAAACTTCAAGGAATTTCTGCTCCAAGTTTAGGCACTGGTTTTCTTCGCTTGATAATCTTACGTTTTCACTGTTATTTTTTTGGTTGGTTCCATATATATTCACCTATTTAAAACTTTTTTTTTCTTCTCCTTGAATTGACCATGTGATTATGTCTACCACTAATTGCTAGTTTTTTTTTTTTTTTACAGTAAGGACGGCTTGTGGCGAAAACGGCTGGCATATCTATTGTTAAACAATATTTGCTCTTAACCAAGGTCTGCAATTAAACAGTCTTGATGGGGAGTTGTGTATCAGCACCTCAGAAAAAAATCAGGACTGTGAGGAGATCCCGCCGCCGCATCCGGAAATGCCGTGGGAAGGGTTCCGGTTCTATGACAGATGCAACCAAGAAAAGGAATAGTGACTCTCGTGTAACGGATATAGCTGTTAGTGGATATTTACATACAGATTTTGAAAACGGTACGACCACTACTCTTAGAACATCTGAGGATCCGAATACTGCATTCCATCTCACTCAGTTGCAGTGGTGGCATCTGAGTCAAATTGATGCAAATGAAAATTGAAGTTGACCAAGTTTCTTTCCTGCAGGAGCTTGCCAAGAGGATGCTTGGTTCGATTCGGTTAGTATTCTTGAATCTGATTCGGATGATGATTTCGTCAGCGTTCAAGGAGGTAACATATGATTCAACCTTTTACTTTATCGTAATTTAAAGTTCTGTAATAGAAAGTAAAGCATGATGATACAGCAATGGAAAATTTTGGAGTGAACTATCAATCACTGTATAAAACTACTAATTATCTCTTCTTTGTTTCTCCATATCTGCCGAGTTTTAGACAATGGTGGGGGATAAATACATCACAAACTTATGGTTGCTAGTTTTCTCGGTGTATTACATCATAGAGTTTGTGTTGTCTAGCACACCACATTATGGACTGTTTAGTTGTTTTGTATGCAATTCCATTCATGTAATTTTGAATGGACAACAGGAAGATTAATCATCCATGACCATCTTATAAATGTAATTTGTCCGGATTTTTCTTTTCCAGATGGTTTTCCGTTGGGTAATGCGATTGGGAATATGTCAAGTGGTCAGCTGCGTCAGTGTGACGGAAAGGCAGATGAAATTTGTAATAGGAAGAAGAAACCATTTGATCATCGTTATGGAAGCTTTAAAGGTCCGAAAGAGGATAAGCGTAATTCCGAAGAGAAAAACTTAAGATCAGGATTATCAAGAATGATTCCCTCTATGAGTTTCAACAATAAGATTTTAACATCGGGTTCGACTCCACAATACCAAAGAAAGAAATCAGCAGTTTTAAGGCTTTCTTTTAAGAAGAGATCATGTGATACTGAAGACAAACTTGAAGACTGTAAGTAATTCGAGTCAAGTTTATTTCCAAAGCTCTATTTAGTGTTTTTTTAGTTCAATGATTGCTCCTAGAGTAGGAATTTTACGTATAATATCAACTTCATTGATATCAGGTACAGCAAAACGATTTTTATATCGTCCCAGAGCAGGATATATAATTCCATGTAGCAAGGATGACAAGGTGAGTCGAGGGTGTTGGTCCGAGATTCCGCCCTCAACTTTTAAACTACGAGGCGAGACCTATTTCAAGTATGCTAGTAATTCTCACCCTTGGCTTAGCTTTTGTGTTAGTAGCTTTCTATTGAAGTTTATGATCGTTGCTTTCCTTTTTTTACAGAGATAAACGGAAGTGTCCGGCACCGCATTACTCCCCGTATACTCCAATAGGCGTCGACTTATTTATCTGCCCGAGAAAGATAAATCATATTGCTCAACATATCGAGCTTCCTAATGAGAAAGCAAATGGGAAAATCCCTCCTCTTCTAATTGTTAATATTCAGGTATATTTCCCTGCAGTTTAATCATTAATAAAAATGCTTCCTGGCAATTTCTTTTAAGCTATTTCTATCGTCTCATGTCTTCTCTTGCAGTTGCCTACTTATCCTACTGCAATGTTCCTCGGAGATGGTGATGGTGAAGGAATGAGTCTTGTTCTTTATTTCAAAATTTCCGAGGATTTTGACGGACTCATCTCTCCACTGTATCAGGAGAGCATCAAGGTAACATTATAACATTTCACTGTCAGAAAGCCTATATTATATTTATTTAATTTGTATATTTCAGCCAGTTATAACTCTGTAGCGTGATCTTGCGGTATAATGAGGATAAGCATCGGTAATTTCCGTCGTCTTGGAACTATCTGTTGAGAATTTCTGCTTTTGCTCCAGAAATTGGTCGATGATGAGATGGAAAAAGTTAAAGGGTTCGCAATAGACTCTAGTGTTCCCTTCAGAGAAAGGCTGAAGATCATGGCCGGCTTGGTTAATCCTGATGATCTCAATTTGAGTTCTACCGAGAAGAAACTCGTAAATGCTTATAACGAAAAGCCGGTTCTCTCACGCCCTCAGCACAATTTTTATAAGGTATAGTATAAGCTTCTGCTTTGTTCATTGACTTTTTCAGTGTTTAGTTCAACCGAAAGATTACGATCATAAATGGGCAGCACTATCATTAACCAGAATTTGCCTTATGAGGTTAGTTAAGACACACCAACCTTGTAATTTGGGCATGACTTAATTCGCTGACATAGTTTGTTGATCCTTGAGATAATGCCAACGGGTTTAAGTCTTGAAGCTTGCTCTACAAACCCTATGTCTGTTCGAGTAGTGACTGCCAAGTCATTAATAGGATCAGATACGAGGATGTTTATTCTATTTCTCATGCAGGGTTCTAATTACTTTGAGATTGATCTGGACATTCATCGCTTCAGTTATATATCGAGAAAGGGGCTTGAGTCGTTTCGAGATCGATTGAAAAATGGAGTTCTTGATCTGGGTTTGACCATCCAGGTAACACACACTCTGATTGCATGTGTTATCTGGCATCTTTGTTAAATGAACTGGTTAATGACTGAACAAGGGCTGTGCTGCCTGGTTCGATCAGTCATTTCACAGAACCTACCTACATAACCTACTTGAACTGATAACTATAACCGAGTAATGTCATTAAAGTCAGACAAGTCCGTTACAACCGGCTTCGACACAGCCCTTCCAATGTTTGATCATCATTAAATTACAAAAATCATCAAAAACTGAGGAAATTATACTTTGAATAGGGTAAACTTCCTTCAGACTTGTCGATGTGTAACTTCGGATAATGATCTTTGGCTTTGATTGACAGGCACAAAAACAAGAGGAACTTCCGGAGCAAGTTTTGTGCTGCCTGAGACTAAACAAGATTGACTTTTCTGATCACGGCCAAATACCGACACTCCGGACAGTTCTGGATACTTAATTAGGTCGTCGTTGTCAAGGTGCAGGATACCAAATTTAGAAACTCTTGTATGGAGGGATCGATTTTATTTGTTGAAGCTTACTCATTATAATACCAGCTTTACTGCAAATATCTAAACGGAACACTTGATTTCTCATTACAATTAAAATGGTATTTACATCGTATTGTTTCAGTTTTCATACGAATCCATATCGACTTGTACTGATCAATACCGATAAGTATCAACTTGTTCCCGAAAAGTGATCTTATGTTGTCTAAAGATTCAGAAAATATTTGGCGACTCTTGATCCGAGCCTTAACTTCTTGATATCGATAGTTGATAAAATCAGGTATGTGCATTCTCTCAAGGATCAAGCAATAACCATATCAGATCAAATTGCTGCAATAAAAAAGTGTTCCTATAACCATTGATGGGGTGGGTACTTTCAATGAAGATTTTAGATCCTTTATTGTCATCTTATTGCGTTGAAGATCCTATATTGGCAGTCATTCAATTAGTGCAAACTAGATGCAGGGTGAACTTGGGAAGATTATGCTCAACAAGACTTTCGATGCGCTCAACAAGAGCATCTTCGATGTTATTAACCATGTGCCTTTGAAACAGATTGGGGACTCGAGTGCTTGCAATACGAGATCAAAGATATATAATCGCCTGAAGGCACAAAGACGTCGATGGACCTTCAAGCAGAAGCAGAATGCAGGAAACATGAGTGGATTCTGAATTCCAAGGGGCCAAAACAAACCAGTATTAACATCGCCGGTGGGAGGAGGAATTTGGTGATTTTGGAATTGGAAACCAAAAATATGTCAGCTCAATTTAGCTACGGGCCATGCAAAAGCTATGGCAAAGTTGATAAGGGATGTCATGGTCAAGATCAGCTCGAGTTGGGGCAAGGGAGTGATGACAATGAGGATTGCAGAGCAGTAGATCGAAGCATACGGTGAGCTAGCTAAGAAGAGCACCACGATCAAATAAGTGTGTATCTTCTAGATTTAAACCAAAAACTTCTCCCATAATTAAAACTAGTGATAACGAAATAAGTGTCTATCTTCTTGATTTTGCCACAAATTCATGCAATAATGTCTCCCACAGAGTAGCCTCAAATGCTTCTCTACCAGCAAACCCCCATTACATCTCAATGTTCAAAGTTCAAACCCCTCCTAAATCTAGTTTCATATCAACTCTTTCTGGGAAAAAACCACCAATAATTTAAGAAGAAATGGAATATGAATAGTTTCTATTCGCTTTCACAATTGATGAAGGAATTGTCTACATTCGATCTCGATCCCGAAACTACCAGATTCGAACAAATGTGTCCCACAGTGAAGCAATGGCAAAAGCAACTGGTAAAACAAGCTGGCCTCTGTAGAAAACGGTACTTGGTGAGGAGCCACTCTTTTCGGTCAATGGAGCAGCTTTAGGAGGTGGAGGCGGGTTCTCCACACGGACTGCAGCTTCATGCCGCCGTAGCAGAACCCTTTGCAACTAATGAAATAATAATGGCGAGTCACGTTAAGCGGAACCACATCCCTTCCAGCTCCAGTTGTCCAGTTGTGAAGTGGATGATCAGAATTGCAGGACTCATAGTTTGTCTTGTTCACCTCTAGAACATTCATCTGGTTCCGGTCATATACAAAGATTGGGAAACAAGTGAACAAACACAATCAATCAGACACCATAGATAACAATTGGCCAGGTTGTTAAAACAATAATTTCAATCAACCGTAACTCAAAAAATGGGATTTGCAGCAACTTAATTGTCTCAGCCTCAGGCTATGTTATCCGGTCTCAAGAGGTGAGTATAATACGTTACAGAGGATCATTCCTTGATGCTCATTCATATTCATATACGTGTCTGACATTAATGTTAGATAGGAGTATTTTGAGAAAAACAAAGAAGTCCGGATAACAAAGGTTTCTATTATGTTAAAACAAAGCCTTAACCTCAAAAGTTAGTCACAATTTGAAAACCTATAGATGTATGAGTGGTTACCATCTTTCTTTGCTACTAGAACTCAAGTGTAAACGTCAGGAGACTATCGGACATAAATACTTCAAGAAAAATAAAGAACCGGAATAGCATAGGTCCAATGCTTAGAGAGGCTTTTATAGGGTTTTGAAGACCTAAAAGATTTCATTTAGCATAAGAAACTTGAATAACCATTGTTAACACTCAGGACCAAGGATTTAAATTAGTTTTCAGTCAGGTCGATGAATGCATTTCGATCAATTGAGTAAATATAAGCTATGAATATCAACCGCAGAAACAACAAAGTAAAGTTTCCAGACCTGGGAAAAACTTTAAACTTCTTTTTCTCACTTTCCTTAATGCTTATGCACTTCCTGGGCAGCTAAAGTATGAACTTTAACATCACTTTGTAGACCAATACACACACCCAAAAAGCACATTTAAAAACTATAATCTTTTAAACCTAGATTATTATATTCCCTTTCAAAAAAAGTAAAGCGATTATGTAAAACGAGAGAATATTCTAAACCTAGCAGGTAAACTATAGCTTTCCAGGAAAACAAAGACAAAAAGTTGAAGACTTGAGACTGTCAATTCATTTGAAAACAACCCATGCGCAGATCTATCAATTTTATCAACCAGAAAACAAGCCAAAGTGTTTGAAAATGCAGAAAAGATAGCGTAATTCAGCAGTAGATCTAAAGAAAGATGAAGGGATAACAAGTTACAGAGCCAGTCGCCATTGTAGAAGTGCTTTCCTTGAGCCCAGACACTGTAATTGACATTAGTGGTCCAACCCACGCCTCCCCCTCCAACGATGTACCTAGTAGCATCGGCCTGTGGCACCATTAACAGTAAAACCAGTCCAAAAGCTGCCATTTCCATCATCATCACCACTTTGCTTCTCTCCATTGCTGAGCTTGACTGCTTTGCTGTGAAATGGGTTTTTGCTTCTGGTTATGGGACTTCAACTGCTTCAGATTTTTTTATTATTTTATTTAGAATAATAACATTTCTCTCAAACCTAAATTTGTAAACTTGTTTAATTAATCGGTCTCATAGATCCCCCCCCCCCTCAAATGTGAATGATAGGATAATTAAGAAAGAAAGGCATCTTCGACCCGATGTTGATTAGACGTTGAAGATTTCAAATCAAACTAAAACAAAATCGAAAGTTTGATTTAAGATTTAATGTTGATTCGAAAACTAAGTAGAGTGGGAAATATAGTTGTTGCCTATTCCATATCAACATCAATATCAACACAGTATGCCATCAAACTGTTAATGAACAGCCACTGGAAACTTGATTATCTATACATTTTCTTTTTCATCACAACTACCAACAAAAACCCCGCTCAATTTCCTTGGGATTTGTCTAACCTTCTCAACAGGTACTCGACTTGGACTTTCTGTTGAAAGTATTAAAATGGTTTTCAAGTGTGGTAATTAATTTTAAAAAAATAATTTTTAAAGTTTGGTAAATATTTCTTTGAAATGATTTTTAAAGTTTGGTAAATGTTTCTTTGAAAAATAGTTTTTCAAAGTTTAGTAGATGTTTGTTGAAAAATGATAATGGGATAATCACAATTAATCTCTAGGTTTTAGGGTATTTACAAGATTAAGTCCTTAAGTTTCAACTATAAATACCCTAGCTCATTTAGCTTCAAAACTATCCCAAAAATCATTTCTTTTTCCCAATACTAGAGAGTTTCCTTGTGAGTAGTGAGTGTTTTGTAAACACCTGTAAATTTTCTCTCTTAGTAAAAGATCTGCAGCAGTCCGGAGACGTAAGCACAATTGGCTGAACTCTGTTATCAATTTTGGGTATTATTTTTCCGCTTTTATTTTGTATTCTCACTAATCTGGTTATAGGGAAATTACTTGTACTTGGTTTATTTCTCAACAACTGGTATCAGAGCTTTTGAGTTGTGAATTTTGTCAATTTTTTGCGATGTTACTATTCGGGTTACTATTCACGTGAATAGTGAATTTCGTGAATAGTAAAATTCGGTCGGTGATACGAGTTTGTCGACGGAGGTGTTCTAATACACGGCGGTTCGCAAAATTGTCAGAAACGATCCAAACGAAGCCAGATTCGAGTGGGAGCGATGGCTGCAGACGAAGGGAATGTGAAAATTGAAAAGTTCGATGGCGCGGACTTTGGATTTTGGAAGATGCAAATTGAAGATTTTCTATACCAGAAAAATCTATATCAACCCCTCTCAGGAAAACAACCAGAGGGCATGAAGAATGAAGACTGAGCTCTTCTCGACAGACAAGCCCTCGGAGTTATCCTACTGACGTTATCCCACAATGTTACTTTCAACATAACAAAGGAAAAGACCACGGCGGGTCTTATGACGGCTCTCTCCAGTATGTATGAGAAGCCATCGACCTCAAACAAAGTTCATTTGATGAGGCGATTATTCAATTTGCGGATGACAGAAGGGGCATCGGTGGCACAACACCTAAATGAACTCAACACAATCACAACCCAGTTGAGTTCAGTGGAAATTGAATTTGATGATGAAGTTCGAGCTTTAATTCTCTTATCATCTTTACCAGACAGTTGGAATGCTACTGTTACAGCAGTCAGCAGTTCGTCGGGAAACAGCAAATTAAAATTCGACGATGTTCGAGATCTGGTACTGAGCGAAGAAATTCGACGGAGAGAATCGGGTGAAGCATCAACCTCCTCACCCTTGCACACGGAGTCCAGATGGAGAACTTTATAAAGAAATTCAAATCGTGGCATATCGAAATCCAGAAGGGGAAAATCAAGACTTCAAAAGAGATTGCCGAGCACCGAAGAAAAATACCGGCGCACAGGAATCTGCCAACATGACGGAGGAGACAGGTGATGCCATGATTTTAAGCGTCAACAGTCCGATTGAATCATGAATTTTGGATTCAGGGGCATCTTTCCACTCCACGCCATGCCAAGAAATCATGGAGAACTATGTTAGTGGTGATTTTGGGAAGGTTCATCTTGCTGATGATGAAACCTTGAAGCTCGTCGGAAAAGGAGACATCCGACTAAAACTGCCAAACCAGACCACCTGGAAGCTGACAGGAGTGAGACATATTCCTGGTCTCAAAAGAAATTTGATTTCTGTAGGACAGCTTGATGGAGAAGGATACAGTACAACCTTTTCAGGTTGTAAATGGAAGATTACCAAAGGAGCAATCGTCATTGCTCGTGGTAAGAATACTGGTACTCTCTATGTAACCTCAAATTTAGAGAATATCATTGCAGTAGCAGATGCTGATGGAAAATCAAACCTATGGCACCAAAGGTTTGGTCATATGAGCGAGAAAGGGATGAAGACACTTTTGTCAAAGGGGAAGCTGCTGGATCTAAAGAATGTAGATGTCGGACTATGCGAGGATTGCATCTTTGGCAAACAAAAGAAAGTCAGCTTTGCAAAGATTGGTAAGACACCCAAGGCTGAAAAGTTAGAGTTAGTTCATACTGATGTATGGGGACTATCTCCAGTTCCATCTCTTGCAGGCTCATTATATTATGTCACCTTCATCGATGATTCTACAAGGAATGTGTGGGTTTATTTTCTGAAGAAAAAATCAGAAGTCTTTGATACCTTCAGAAAATGGAAGGCCATGGTGGAAAATGAGAATGGTATGAAAGTCAAGCGGTTGAGGTCTGACAATGGAGGAGAGTACAGAAATAGGAGATTCAGAGATTTTTGCGCAAACAATGGGATCAAGATGGAGACAACAGTTCCCATGACACCGCAGCAGAATGGCGTAGCAGAGCGCATGAACATAACTCTGAATGAACGTGCCAGAAGCATGAGGATACATGCCGGATTGCCCAAATTTCTATGGGCTGAAGCTATTAACACTGCAACTTACCTTATCAACCGTGGGCCCTCAGTTCCTTTGGATGGCAGAATACCAGAGGAAGTTTGGAGCAAGAAAGAAATAAACCTTTCACACTTAAGAGTGTTTGGTTGTATTTCTTATGTACACATAGACTCCGCTGAAAGAAATAAACTTGATGCTAAGTCCAACAAATGTGCCTTTGTTGGTTACGGCGGTGATGAGTTCGGTTACCGGTTTTGGGACTATGAAAATCGGAAGATCATTATAAGCAGAGATGTCATTTTCAATGAGAATGTGATGTACAAAGACAGGTCAACTGTAGAATCAAGCAGCTCCAATACCAAAGCTGAAACAAAGGAATTTGCTGAGTTTGAGGAGATTTCTGGAAATGATGTTCAGATCAGTCCTGAAGCAGTTCAAGAAGAACCAGTCACACCGGAACTAAGATGCTCCTCCAGAATTCCTAAACCAACCCAACGGTATTCTCCTTCTTTGCACTACTTGTTGCTGACTGACAATGGTGAACCAGAGTGCTATGATGAAGCAATGCAAGTGGATGATTCAGTCAAGTGGGAGTCTTCCATGAAAGATGAGATGGACTCGATTTTGTCAAATCAGACGTGGGAATTAGCTGAATTACCACCAGGCAAGAAAGCGCTTCACAACAAGTGGATTTACAGGATCAAAGAAGAGCACGATGGGAGCAAACGCTATAAAGCGAGATTGATTGTCAAAGGTTTTCAGCAAAAAGAAGGTATTGACTACAATGAAATTTTTTCTCCAGTCGTGAAACTGTCTACAATCAGACTGGTGTTGAAAATTGTAGCTGTAGAGAATTTACATCTTGAGCAGTTAGATGTAAAGACAGCTTTCCTTCATGGTGATTTGGAGGAAGAAATCTATATGAGGCAGCCAGAAGGCTTCATAGAGGCAGACAAGAAAAACCTGGTATGCAGGTTGAAGAAGAGCTTGTATGGTTTAAAACAAGCTCCTAGACAGTGGTACAAGAAGTTCGATAGTTTCATGAGTAGCAGTGGTTTTACCAGATGCCAAGCAGATCATTGTTGCTACATCAAGAGGTTCGACAATAGCTTCATTATTTTATTGTTGTACGTTGATGACATGCTCGTTGCAGGCTCAGACATGCAAGAGATTATAAACTTGAAGCAAAAATTGTCAAAGCAGTTTGCTATGAAGGATCTGGGCGCTACAAAGCAGATTCTTGGGATGAGGATCAAGAGAGACACAAAGTCAGGGACTTTGATATTTTCACAGGCTGAGTACATCAACAAAGTACTCTCCAGGTTCAACATGCAAGATGCTAAACCAGTAAGTACACCTTTAGGTGTTCATTTCAGACTCTCCAAAGAACAGTCACCAAAGACGGAGGAAGAACGTGCACACATGGTGAAGTTGCCGTACACCTCAGCGATTGGAAGTCTAATGTATGCCATGGTTTGTACCAGACCAGATATTGCTCAAGCAGTGGGAGCTGTTAGCAGGTACATGAATAATCCGGGCAAGGTACACTGGGAAGCAGTCAAATGGATCCTCAGATATCTGCGGGGTATCACAAACAAAGCACTTTGTTTCAAAGGTGGAGATACGATACTGACAGGCTATGTAGATGCTGACTTAGCCGGAAATGTTGACATCAGAAGGAGCACTACAGGGTATGTCTATACTCTAGGAGAAACCGCAGTGAGTTGGGTTTCTCAACTACAGAAGATAGTTGCTCTCTCCACAACTGAAGCAGAATATGTCGCTGTTACGGAAGCTAGCAAGGAGATGGTTTGGCTCCAAAGTTTCTTGGAAGAGTTAGGCAAGAAACAAGAAAACAATGTCTTGTATTGCGACAGTCAAAGTGCTATACATCTAGCAAAGAATCCGTCTTTTCATTCCAGGACAAAGCACATACAATTGCGATATCATTTTATCCGGTCTCTTCTGGAAGATGAGATTTTGAAACTTGAAAAGATCAGTGGAGCTCAAAATCCGGCAGATATGTTGACAAAGACGGTGACTACAGACAAACTGAAGTTTTGTTCAACTTCAGTTGGCATGCTAGAGTAACAAGACTAGAAAAGCTGTTGCATTGATCGAGGTGTGAAGACAGATTAAAATCAGTCTTCAAGTGGAAGATTGTTGAAAGTATTAAAATGGTTTTCAAGTTTGGTAACCAACTTTGAAAAAATGGTTTTCAAAGTTTGGTAAATGTTTCTTTGAAAATGGTTTTTAAAGTTTGGTAAATGTTTCTTTGAAAAATAGTTTTTCAAAGTTTGGTAGATGTTTGTTGAAAAATAATAATGGGATAATCACAATTAATCCCTAGGTTTTAGGGTATTTACAAGATTAAGTCCTTAAGTTTCAACTATAAATACCCTAGCTCATTTAGCTTCAAAACTATCCCAAAAATCATTTATTTCTCCCAATACTAGAGAGTTTCCTTGTGAGTAGTGAGTGTTTTGTAAACACCTGTAAATTTTCTCTCTTAGTAAAAGATTTGCAGCAGTTCGGAGACGTAAGTACAATTAGCTGAACTCCGTTATCAATTTTGGGTATTATTTTTTCGCTTTTATTTTACATTCTCACTACTCTAGTTATAGGGAAATTACTTGTACTTGGTTTATTTCCCAACACTTCCTTCGTCAATGGCATGATCCACTCGCCGTACAAGTCGGCCACCAAGCTTGGGTTTATCTTGTAAGTTGGGCAGTCACCGTCTTTGCAGATTTCAACCGGCACTTCTTGTCCGTAAGTTCTGGTTTTCATTTCCACTCGTTTCTTGACCGATTCTTCGACCTTGGGGAATTTCAGCAAATTCATCAGCCCATCTCTATCCTGCAAAGTTTCAAGAACAAATAATCAAAACACACGATCCGTTGCAAGGGCTTCAGTTTAACCGAGTGTTCTTTGAATGAAACTCATAAACAATACCTGTTCTTTGATGGCAGCTTGATAAGCTTCTGGAGAATCCCGGAACTTGCATTCCGCTACAAATTTCCCGTAACGAATCCTCTTCGAAAGAGCCTGCAAACACATGGCGTCACAAACGGCAGTGGACCCACAGTTTCCGTCTTCTCCTTCCTTGGCTAATTTCGGAACGATATTCTTGAAGTAGATCTCCCACACTTTAGGGTTCATATTGATTTTATCAGCAATGGGATGCAGTACCTGTTTGATTATCAGGAAAAAAGAAAAAGGCTCCAGTAAGAAGCTAAAACCTAGCAAAAGAGCGATGAAAGTATCATTTTTACCTTATGTCAAAGGTGGTAACAATGGGGCAGGTAATTCTTCCCGGAAGAATGGATGCTCGTCCGGGCTATTGTATCTGCCAACCTGGGCATGAAGCTTTTCGGTTTCTCTAAGCATATACTGGATCAAAGAGCCATGGAAACCTTCAATTGAAAAGGAATCAGGGTCATATGTACTCTTATTTTGACAGTATTGAGCTCTCTCCAGAAGGCTAAAGATTATGCTGTCCTCTTGTCGGATTAACGAGTACCTCACGGCATCGAGTGTCAAGTTCTCGCTGTCATCCACCCTTTGCGTTGTTACCGTTCTACAGAGAAAGCAAAAGGATCACATTTGAACAATCTAGAAGAATTCTGGGTAAAGAACGAAAGGGTGAATTCTTTTTCATACCCAATAGATTTGGAGGCATGAACAGATTGGATTATTTTATTGGACGATCTTGCAGGGCATTGGAGCTTGAAGATGGGGAATTCTCTTGTTGGTGAAGTTAAAACAAGACTGGGTCTTGAAAACTTGGTTGCTCCGTTAACAGAAAACGAAGGTGGAGAAGAAGCACTCAGCAACTTGGCCTCCATTGATCTTCAACTGAAAGGTATAGTAAGGAATGCAGAAGTTCGAAGCTTTGAAACAATGAGTTCACTGAGAAAAATACGAAGCATACGAGTATATATATATATATATATATGCACAGAAATATAAATTTCGGAAAGAAAACTGACTGATTCGCGGGTTCTTTGTGGTAGTTAAGAACGAGGTTCCAGAAGCTGTTTCATCTGTAACTGTTAACTGCCTCTCAATTTTTCCTTGCTGACGTGGTATTTTAAAATGATAAAATAATAGTCCTTTATAATTATATTCTGAATTCTACTCTAATATATATATATATATATAACAAAATACATTACATATTTCATATATTTAATATGAAATATATATTTTCATATTTGCACGAATTAGATGATCTTAATGATTAATAAGATTATCGTTAATTTTAAAGATTTTATATTCGAATACGTTGATATTTAAATATTTATTATTAAATAATTAAAAATCGACTTTAGATTCACTTTATACCTATTGGTTCTTGTAAACATAAATGGTGGATTTATTGACGTGTCAACACTAAAAATCAAGATGGTAATATTAGAATAAATCTCAAATTTAAAGATTGTGTGTGATTAGTCGATACTATTGATCTAATATTTTAGACGCTTAATTTGAACATAATCTAAGGATCTTCCAATTAAATGATTTTGATTTCCTTCAGGTAGGGGTATAAACGAGGCGAGTCGTGTTCGAATATTGTTGAGTTCGATTTGAAAACTCTGAAATTGAGCTCGATTTGACTCGAAAACTCGTGAGTTTAAAATTTTCAAGCTTGACTCGAACTCGAAAACTTGAACTGAAGCTCGTGAATAGCTCGAAAAGGCACGAAATGAAAAAAAAAATATTCTTAAACTTAACTCGATCGATGCCTCAAACTCAAACTCGAACTTAAACTTTAAATACATAAAAATCTTACTGTATTTTAAAAAAATCAATACATAAATGTTAATATTATTAATAATTTATTTTTAAAGAAAATAAAAGCTTAATATATTATATTTTCGAGCTGCTCACGAGCTTTTCAAGTCAAATATCAAATAATTCATTTTGGTTCGTTAAGAACTCGAGTCGAGTTCGATCTCGATTCATGTTCATAGTCGATCTCGAGTTCGCGATCTGTCTTATCTCATTTACAATCATACATTAAGGAAGAAGAAAACCAAAGCAGTAAAGCGACAGCGTTTCGCCATGCAATTATCTTCTTCCTGTTTTTTCAGAAACCCTGTCCATTAAATAAAAAGCCTTTTCCTCTGCTTCAACATTTCAATTCCTTGGCGCCATAAACAGCTGCCGTTTCTGTTTAAATCTCTGTAACAACCCCGGAAAAAAAGGGGGGGATGAGTACTTGCAATCGTCTAATCAGTACATATTTATCTAATCTTCATTGTAAACTTGACTTGAACCCTAAACCCTTCTCTCTTCCTCTTTCACTTCGCCCGCTCACTTCAGGTACGCTTCGTTGAATAAAACCTTCATTTTTTTATGTTACTTGCAAAACCCATATTTTTTGTTTCTTAATTTCATGTTCTATTAGTTAAATGTAATGTCTTTTTGTTTTCTGTTTTTTGGAGGGTTTAAATTTAGCGCCTTCCTGGAAGGTATTCCTTATTTGGAGAACATTCTGGAAGAGTTAGATTAATTGTATGTAGATGAAAGAAGCTATCCCTTTATTCATCTTAATTCGGTTAAATGCAGTTCCTTTATGCAGTCCAATTAGTTCTAGTAGAATCCGAACGAGGCCTTTCTCGGCTTTACAAGAAGTAGCCCATTTAGAAGATGAATCCCCGGATGATTTGGCAAAGGACACCGTGGCACACCTGCTGACTCACCAAGATGATATTTCGAAGCTGATGAAAATGGAGAGGAAATCGGGAATGGATTTCCATAGCAAGCGGTGGTTTCCTTACTTCGATAGGTTTAGGTGTGGGAATGAATCCCTGAGCAGCAGCGAAGTTATAGAGGCCATCGAACCTGCCTTGATGGAGGAGAGGAAAGAAAGGTTGAAGAGGGTGGTGAGAAATAGGAGCTATTCAGTTTGCTTGGTTGTGGAAGGGTTGTCTGATTTTGGCAATGTTTCGGCCACGTTCAGGTTTGCTGATGCCCTTGGCTTGCAGTCGGTTCATGTTGTATCGTGTGACAGCTCGAAAAGGTGGTAAGATGATTCAAGCCAAGATGGGTCTTGTTTTTGGTTGTGGTTGTTTAGTTCAAGCATTTTAAGTTGTTGTACCTTACATTATTGTTGCATATAGTAAATTCGCAGTTTGACTTGCGTAATTTCTTCTGTTTTTAGTTTGTTCAATCAATCAATTGCTTTCCGAACATCATTTGTCTATCCAGATACAGAGAAAACAGACATGTTAGCATGGGTGCAGAGAAATGGTTGGATATCGAACTTTGGAACTCTCCGAAGGAGTTTTTTGAAGTTTTAAAATCATGCAGTTACCGGATCGCTACCACACACTTAAGAATGGATGCGGTATTGATTTTCCCCCACTTTTGATAGTACTTCTTTTTAAAATAGTGATCCTTAAATCAGATTGCTCTCTTTTTCTCTTAAATCAGATTTTCTTTCACTGACAAAAAAAATTAAAATCCTTAGCAAGTATATGGCCTCGGATGATCAAAGTTAGAATATTCTAAGTTGGGATACTTGCATAACTCTCTATTTGCAGGTTTCCATATATGACATGGATTGGTCAAGGCCAACTGCAATTGTAGTTGGGAATGAAAATAGGTAAATTTCTGTAGTTTATTACAATATTAAAGGTGTTTTATGATTTTCTCATTTCAAGTCCATCCAATGCCCTGGTTTTGTTGATGTGTTCCATGCCTTGTAATATAATTATGTGCTGTTTTTGTTTCTGTAATATGGCCAAATTTTTTTGTCATGGTTCTCCGTGCTATTCTCTCTTTTGATGTTCCTTGAGGTTTATGTTACCCTGATTTCAGGGGAATAAGTGATGAGGCACTGGAACTGTCAGATTTGCATTGCAGTATTCCGATGAAAGGCATGGTTGATTCTTTCAATGTTTCAGTGGCCGCTGGCATAGTCATGCACCAAGCTGTTTGTGACTGAACAATGCGCCTGGTAATATTTACTGTCTAAATCCATAGACCTATTGGCATCGCACGAATTGTGATTGTTCTATCTTTTAATAAATCTTGCCCGATTAAAGAGATAGTAGAAGATACTTGCATGAATCTCTGTTTCCCAAAACTGACTGAACCTGTTATCTGTACTCGTTTCTACTCTAGTCCATAGACAGGATTTTTGTTGCATTGCGACGATTAAAAGTCTTTTCCTTTAGAAACGAAATGTTCCTGTTTCAACCGGTCTCGAACATTTTCAACCTTTTCTAGATATGAATCAATTCTTTTTCCTATGCATCTATAAATATCCTTGGGCTATCAAGTCATGGGGTTTTTTTTCTTGATTAGTGTTCTAAACTCAGGGAGGTTGAAATACACTTTTATCTGCACGTCAGTTTACTTGGTCCTTTTTGCAATTGTTGTTCCGAGTTTCAGACCATTTCATATCGAGTTCCATGGAGCATTGCACTACATTAACTATTAATTAGAGATAAGCCCTCTCCATTACAGAATGGTGGATTCCTTCCGGACATAGATTACAAGATATGTATGCTTCTAGTATTTGCAATAGTAGTAACTTCCTCGTGAAGTTGTTTGTCAGCTTCGATTTATTTTAATTACATAGATTTTGTCCGACACAGGGTTGCCATGGTGATTTGAGTGAGGACGAAAGCCAAATCTTACTTGCGGAGTTCTTGTTGCGTCATAATAATAGCTCAATCAGCATAGCTCACGAGTACGCTAAGCGGAAGGCACGTATACCTCCCATACCAAGACTATGATGGAGCAGTAAAAGTCAACGTATGATTTATGTACGATTATGATACTTTTCAACTCCAAAGTCTCAGTAGATGTTGCAGCCAAGTCAGATGCAATGCACAGAGTTAAAAGCATTGTTATTTTTTTTATCGTAGCTGATGCAGTATTCACACATTCTAGAAAATTATAATGCAGAATTATAATATTTTCTTCGACTATTGTTCTTGAAGTATCGATATTATATAAGCACGAGTATGGGATATGGCAGGAAAAGTATACTCATGTCGGATATGTGTATCTTTTATTCATATTTTACTGATTTAACTAGATTCGGGTAGTAATATCTGATTTAATTCAATGAAAAGAGTTCGGGCAAATCTGAGAGTACAAAACTTCTAACAATATGAGTGTTTCTACATGAAAAAAATTGAAATCATATGCTCATGTACAATCATTTATTGTTTCTTTTTTACATAAATCTTTTGAGTTTAGGTTTTAGAACAAGTTCATTACTTCATCTTCATAATCAGATGATGCAGACCCTGAGAGCCTCTGATTTGCCGGACCGAATAACAATTCGACACAGAATGCGGGGCCGCATATCGATCTACCAGCACTCCCAACTTTGTCCAGATCCCGGATCTTAAACTGGCAAGTTGAACAATGCAGTAAGTTTCTTGGCGCATATCGGTTTATGAATCGCGGAAAACTTCTCAGAACGTACCTGTGACAAGCTGTTCTTGATGAAGGCCGTATTGAAACAGGCATAAAAAAGGCGGCCTCCGATCATTTTTTGATAGAATATGACACGCACATCTCCCTTAACCTGTTGCATCCAAGCATATGATCATATTTGAATTCATACATTACGCATATGGATGTAGGTTAAATATTTGGCGTTCTTCGAATTTGAGTTTTTCATGATACATCATAGAAAAGCAGACATATTAGTACATAGATGCAAGTGACTTACTTCAACAGGTTTTGTGAAACAATAGTCAAGACAGTTCCTCTGATATAACACTTGACTCTCTGTGTCCATTTGAACTACAAAACGAGGTCCTTTCGATTCCGGTGCATCCCCTTCGTTGTCTCCTTCGACGTATGACAAAAAATACCTAGGACTGCAATTCCCTTCAGATCCCTTTTTGATTTCTCTACAGCAACCCTTGGCAACTTCCACCTGTGGGCGGTACATCTGATCCGGGATCTGCCGTACAAGGGTATAGAACGTGAAATCAAGCTCAGTTTATAACGTTATATCATGGCACTTTATTCGTACATGCGAGTTTACGTGGTGTTACAATTGACCTAACCTCTTGGAGCTCAGAGACAACGAAGAAGACACAGTTGGCATTAACCGTATCGTAAAGCCGAATCCGTCGCAATTCTCGGCTGCATGGTTGAGGCAAGTTCACTTCGGGAGGTCCGTTGCCAATTCCCCTAGGAAAAGAAAGTATCTTTTCCCAGTACCCCACATAACGACGTTGGCTTGGAATAGAAACCTATCAACAAAAGTGCAACAATTTTGAACACAATAAAAACAATTCTCAAAAGCAAGTTGATGCAATGAAATATATATTAGAGCTATGTTATTCGATCAAAGTTTTTCGAGAAAATGAAGAGTCGGGGCAACATAATTACTTACCCCTTCATTGTTAGTGGTCCGCATTTGGGCGTATAACTGAAGTGCTTCCTCAGCTGACATTCCAGTGTAAACAAGGTAGGCACATACCATTAAGCCTGTTCGACCTTTGCCTGCCTGCAAATTCAGTGAAGAATAAAAATTCAGGAAGATAAGGATATGTGTTTGACACGGATATGTTCGATTTTACGAGCTAATACCATGCAATGCACGACTGCAATGTTTTTAGGGTCCTTTGATAGCCATGAATGAACACTCTCACACAACTTCATCATCATTTCGAAGTGGGGAACATGATTGTCATCGAAAGGGAACCGCTCGACTCGACCATGGAAGTTTGATGGATCATAGTCTTCTTCTATGCACAAGTTATAGACCTTGTAATGCCCCTGATGTCTCATTTCCAGCACAGACTTGACCTGCCATAGAGGATTCCGATACACCGCCCGCATACGTTCGGCGGGGAAGGACATTGCCAACACACGATCGGTTATATAAGACATGTCAAGATCGTATCCGCCGACTACGATTCGCCTTCTTTTCTTGGACACCAAGTTCCGTATCCAAGAACTCGCCGAAAGATAAGAAAACATTCGATGCGGGAGGACAAAAGTGGTGGTGTTTTCACCCTTCGCCGGCCCTGCCTTGGAAAACTTCAACCCCATTTGCTGATACTGCCTCAGACACAACAACAAAGTAAAATGCTTTGGATGCTTCACGGAGCCCACCGGGAGATGAATGTCGAGGATGAAGACCATGATGGAGGTGATGAAGACGACCATTTTTCATATTGTTTCTGTTACATCCCCTGATGGAAAGACAGAACAGATGAGTGGGATTTTTGGGTGCTATATTCTAATTTGGATGAAAGTTAGACATCATTTTCTCAACCTCCATATTTGGAGCAAATCCAGGCAATTTAGACAAGAAAAATGTGTCAACAAAATTACAGTTGGGGTAACTGAAATTTGTAGGACAGTTCGTAGGTATGGTAGCCCTTGTTGCAAATTTTCCATGTTTTCCTGTTGTTTATATATGAGTTGTCGTAACCGGTTTTTGTCCGGGCAAGAAATTTTTTACTTGGCGGGAAAAGTGATGTAAATAAATAGTTTTTGATTTTTTAAAAAAAAATATTTTGGGAGTCGCCATCGGCCTTTTGGGTTAGGTAGGTCGAATACCTAAAAATCATCTTTTAAAAGAGTTTTTAAGAAAACATCGATTAAAAGATAAACTGATATGCGTTTTAACCAAAAATTCATTCTTTTTAATAATAAAAAGGGATTCGTGATCTGTTACGTTTAGGGAAGGATTAGCACCCCTACAACGCCCAAAATTGATACTTTTTAATTATATATTGTCTCTATTATTAGAAATTAAAAATTAAAAATATTTTTAATTTATAATCCTATTATTTTAAGATTATAATTATGAAAAATATATATTAATTTATATATATTTATAAATAAAATATTTATTTATTTAAAAATATCAGAAAATGACTTCTAGGTGCCTTAAGACAGCTTTTTTCTTTGATATTAATAATATAATAATTTAAATAAAATTAAATTATAATTTTTATAATATTTAATTTTAAAATACCAGAATAGGACATCCAGTTGTATTAAGACTGCCCTTTTCTTTGATATTGAAAAATAAATAAAAATTAAAATATGATAAAAAAAATAATTTATGTAAAATCAAATTAAGATTTAATATAAATTATTATTTATTATATATATTTATATGACTATATAATAATAATAAAAATAATATTTAAATATAAACAAGTAAAATTAAAACATAAATAAACAATAAAAATAAAATTAGAACTATATATTTAAAAGCAGTAAAACTTTATAATAAATGAAAATATTTAAAATTAGTGACTAAATTATAATCTAATAAAATTAAATACCTAATTCGTGATTAATTATTTAAAATTACAGGGATTAAACATGCTATTATTCTTATTTATTAATTTGGTGACTAAACTAAAATTATATAAAATTCATATATCAAATTAAAATAAATTGAAATATGTTGTTCGGGGTTTAAAATATCAATTATTAAAATTAAAGGACTAAATATGTTATTTATCCTAAACATATTATTTTAATATAAAGGACTAAAATAAATAAAATTAAAATTAAAGAACCGAATTAAAATGATTATAAATTGATTTAGTGACTAAAATGTAAAGATTACAAATTAGGATGGTTGCGGAAAGGGTTTAACTTTTAGTTAATTACAGATAGACCCTTCCCAAAACGGCGTCGTTTGGTAGTATAATTCCAAGGTACCCTGCGGGTATCCTTGTATGGAAATGGTAAAGGAGTTGTGATAACTACTTTCGGCTTTGTTGGTGCAGGAATCATTGTAGATGATTTTCACATTAATAATCACAGGATCAATTGTTCTTTGATTAGGTTTAAAATCATCTGATGAGCAAATATCATCTTCTTTTTTTCCTGGTTCTTCTTCAAAGAATTCTATCTCTCTGTTATTCATCAATTTTTGCACCAAATCCCTAAACTCAGGACATAGTTGAATTTCATGCCCCTTCTCTTGATGATATTCACAATAATTCTTGCCTTCATTATGCTTTGGCCTGAATTGTTGTGGAATTATACCGGCTAAAGAGAGTTGTTGAAATATCCAAACAAAAGGAGATTTAATTTCAGAAACGTCAGTTTTTGCTTTCTTTCTGTTCTCTTCCTGAATTGCATTCACGTTTTTATCTCCATGATTTGGCAATGGATGATTTGATGTAGATGGTGAATTGAATTCCAACTTTCCATTGTTGATCAAATTTTGAACCACCCTTTTGAATGTTAAACAGTTTTCAATAGAATGACCCGTAATTCCTTCATGGTAAACACAATGTGCCTTTACATCATACCATGGAGGGAATGGTGGTTGCATAGGAACCAAAGGATAGGGTCGTATGACATCTGCTGTTAACAGCGAATCATAGATCTCAGCATAGGGTACTGGTAAAGGTGTAAAAGACAACCTTTCATTTTCCTTTCGAGATCCTCTGGACTCTGCTCGATTAGTGTTTGTTTCTTCTTTCTTAACTCTTGGCTGGGTTATTATAACACTTTTCGATGAATCCTTATTGTAAGAGTTTGCATTGTTGACTTCATTCTCTTTTTTTCGATACATAGGTCTTTTGGAACTAGACCCCTCATTTGATTCAATTTTACCACTTTTCAAGACATTTTCAATGAGTTATCCAGAAATGACCAAATCTGCAAAATTTCTGGTTGCATTCCCCATTAGATGATTTAAATAAGGAGCTTTCAATGTATGGACAAATATTACTGTGACCTCTTTTTCTGACAGAGGTGGTTGAACTTGGGCTTCTGTGTCACGCCATCTCTGAGCATACTGTCTGAACGTTTCGTTATTCTTTTTTTCCAAATTTTGGAGAGTCCATCTATCAGGGACCATGTCTGTTACGTGGCGGTACTGCTCTAGGAATGCTTTAGCCAGATCTTTCCAAGATCTAATGTTGGCTTTGGTCAATTGAGTATACCATTTTAAGGCTGGTCCTGTCAAACTATCTTGAAAGCAGTGAATTAACAATTTCTCGTCATTATGCGACAAAACATAGTAATGTGGGATGAAGGGCATGTGGTACCATCATATTTATCAAATTCGGGAACTTTGAACTTGATGGGGAGAATTAGGTCTGGAACCAAACTCAACTCACTAGCGTCAAACCCATAGAATGATTCAGTTATTTCCACGGATTTCATTCGTTCTTCTAAGCTCTTGATCTGTCTGGTCAATTCTTCATTTACTTTTTCTTTCGCATTCAGCTCATTCAAATCTGGGATTAGATGCTCAGCATTAAAATCCCCTATTTTCATATCTGATATAAGTGGATTTTTGTTTGAAGATGCAGGATCCACTTGTCGATTTTCATGTGGTTTGGCTTCTTGAAATGCTGATGTGCGGGCATTGATTTGTATAGGTGTAGTACCAGAGTGATAAATTGGTTCTGGTGGGAAACCTAGAGGATACATAGGTTCTTGGTCGAAAGATACAGGATTTTCATGCATTTTTCCAATGATAGCCTGCCTTTTAAACATGTCTTCTATTTTCTGCATCATGCTGTCTTGTGAGTTTGCAATACTGGCTTCAATTTTCTCTAGCTTCATTCTCATTTCTGCTTGTTCTTTATTATGTTGTTCCTCAATACGTTATATTTTATCCTCCATAATTCTCTTAGTAGCTTGTCTAGTACCGTAGTGATGTTGTATTTCTCTTTTGGCCAGAATAACTGCGATTGAAAATTCTTTTGATATTATTTTTTCAAATTTTAATTAATGAATGTTATAAAAATTATACATAAAAAAAATAATGCAATGAATAATGAATGTATGCAAAATGCATGTATGCAAAAGGTATTGATCCCAAAAAGTTAACAGTCATAGAACAACTTTCATCGGCATACAAAAGTTTCTTTATAATAATTCATAACTACAGATAAGGCGTAGCTTTCCTATTAAGCTCTATAATTTCTTTCATTAGCCATAACACATTCTTTCCGAACTTAGAAATTGGATCAACGTGATGCTCAATTATTTTTGCTTCAACAGCTAGTTCCCCAACATATCTAGCAACTTCGCTCATTTGTACCATGGCCTCAAATACCATATTACTTCTTTCTTCACTTCTTTCTACATAGAAATCAATTGATTTTTTTCATTGTTCATTAGTTCCTTCGAGAGTTTGCTCTAACTCAGTGATTCTGACTTGACAATTGTGTAGAGTTTTTTCAAGATCTCTAATGCGTCTTCGCAGTGAAGCACTTTCCTCATTACTTTATTTGAGATCACTAGGTCCTAGACGAACATTTTCTTAAAATAATGACTCATCAAGTTGCAAAATGTAAGCATTAAACTCTGAGTTTTTGTTTCTAGACTGATCCAGATCTTCTTCAAGTTTTGTTCGTGCTTCTTGCGTTCTTTGATTAAGCTTCTGGATTTGAACATTCTTGTTTCTGCATCTTTGCATCCAATTGCTAGCCACTTCTTGTTCTACCTCAAGTTTGGTGTTGAAATTCTTTCTTTCCAGCTCCCATTTTTCTTTTTCAACATTGAACTCTTCAATCCTTTGGCCCCTGACTTCAAGTTCGGCAATCAGATGGTTCATTTCAGATTCAAATCCCTTGAACATGATATTTTTCTCACCTTCAAATTTATCAAAGATGTTATTCTTCATCTCTTCTAAATCTTTGGCTCGATCCCTTTCTCTTTGTATTTCATTCATGATCTTGCGGTGTTCAGCTTTGTGTTTTATAATTCGTTCTCTTCTGTCAACCTCAAAATCTTCAATTTTCTGCTTTCCTTTCTCAAGGCTTTTGAGTAGACGGCTATTCTTTCCTTTCAGATCTTCAACTCGACTTTTCTCGATGTTCAATTCTCTGGTCATCTGTACTGTTGATCGGCTCGGTCCTGATGCTTTCTGGGATTTATATAACTCCTGGTAATTTTTCTTTAATGCTCTGAATTCACCATCAACTTTTTCTTTGTTTTCTCTCAACATTGCACATTGTAATGAATGAAAGTCATGTCAACACCCAACATAGCTTTATCTCGTCTCATTGCTATTCTTGACCAATCTTCTTTTTCTGCTTCAAACTCAGCTCTCAGGA